GGCACTAAGCCCCTCTAGAGCACTGACCTCCAGGATGGCTCCTCATTCCATGGATCCATCATCAGGCAGTAGGAGCTGAGGTAGAAATGTGCTCCCTGAGCCCGGATCACCTCCCACTGCCCAGACAACAGCAGACCAGAGGTGGCTGAGCCCTGCTGAGCCCAGGCTGTCTGCAGAAGGACCACCCCTGGCCAGCACCTGCTTCTCTCCCTGTGTGGGAATTGTCACCTTCTGGCTCTCAGGCTGAAGTGTGTCCAGGTGGTGGCCACTGGGCTTGCTGTGCTCAGCTTCCAGGAGTGCTGTCAAGTCCTTTTCTGGGAGCAGTTGTCATTACCCCCCACCCCGAGGTGGTGGCTTTGCTGTGCCCGCACAGGGGAGGGAACACTCACAGAGCACAGCGTGGTTCAGGTTCCCCTGTCCTTCCTCTCTGTCTCTGCATGGTGCTGCTTAGTGTTTTTCACCTTAAAGTGGGAGATGGCTGCCAGGTTTCCATCCAGGGAATACTCTGGGTTTGCCCATCTACGAGAAAGAGGTGGGAGGCCCATGGTCCTCCAGCAGCCAGGCTCCTGTTCTGGAGGGTGCTGCAATCCCCTAACCCAGCCACCCTGTTGCCTTCCTTCCTGCTCCAAGCTGATAGATACAAATGTCATGAAACAGCTTTTTATTTAGACAGTAATTGTGCAGGGATAACTCAACAAATGCCATCTACAGTAATTACTCAGGGCTCACGCTAACAAACTCTCTTCTTGCCCACCAACTGCTGTCGTTAGAGCTGTGGAAGGAAAGCATGGATTTAAAAAGTTGCTCCCAAGGCATTCCTTGTGATGTGTGAAACTGTGCATCTCTGTTTGTTGACATGGTCAGATGAGAATCGTGTTCCAAGCCAGTCACCGAGCACGGGGACATTCTGTCAACAAGATGCTGAGTGTCAGAAAGCAGCAGAAGCTGAAGGCTTTGGCAACAAAGCCCTGTGCTGTTGGGCCACTGCCCCCCAATTTAGTTGGAAGCCAGGCAGCAATGTCCAACTCTTTGCAAGCTTTGTCCCTTCACTGAATGGGTTTCAAAGCTCCTCCAAGTGTGTGAGAAGGAAATCACAGAATCATAGAATGATAAGGGGTTGGAATGGCCCTTAAAGATCACCTAATCCCCAACCCCCCTGCCATGGGCAGGGACACCTTCCACTAGCCCAGGTTGCTCAGAGCCCCGTCCAACCTGACCTTGAACACTGCCAGGGACAGGGCAGCCACAACCTCCCTGGGCAACCTGTGCTAGGCTCTCACCACCCTCCCAGGGAAGAATTTCTTTTGTATATCTAACCTAAATGTCCTATCACTGCAGAAATCATGTTTTAAACTTGGCATCGCTTTTTCAGGGTGCAAACTGGTGGCTAAAAGGGAAACAAGCCCGAGGGGTGGGTTAGAAATTGGAAGGAGCTGGTCTCACCCATCTCAGAGTCAGGGACTAGCACTGAGGCAGCCTGGAAAAAGCAGGATAAGAGAGTAAGAATTACTCTACTGAAATGGAAATCTCTCCCCAGGCCGTGAGACCAGGCTACCCCTGCACCTCACAGGGGAAGGCCTCGAGCCCTGCCTCCAACTCAGCTCTGAGGAACTGGACATGGGGAAAGTTTTGGTTGGAGAAGCCTTACAGCTACGAGGTGAGCAGCAGGGGCTGGGGTGGATCCTGATGGCTCCTGGGGCAGAGGGGAGCCTGGTGGACCTGTGGAATTTCTGGCAACTTGGGCAGTTGTGAGCAGGGAATATTTGTCATACTAGTCAAATCTGGGGGGTTTCACAGAATCTGGATCCTTTTCCGGGGCCTGAAAGGTGTTGTCTGAAGGCCCAATTCCTGCTTTTTGACAACCGCCCTTGGAGATCAGCTGGGATGCTTTCTGCAAAACAACCCCTCAACACATGAAAGCAACACTGGGTCAAAAAGCTGAAGTGTTCAGAGGCTTCTGTTCCAGCCTCAGACTCAAGGCACCTTTGTGCTCGGGCTGTTCAAGAGCAGCTGGAACAAACTGGCTGCGTTTGAGCTTGAGTCCACTGCAAGAGAGAGCAACTGAAAAAGGTGGAAAATGAGGCACTGCATCATGCCAGACACTTCCAAAAGCTTTGCCATGGCAGGAAAGGACACACGGAGTTGTTTTCTTACTAAAAGATTGTGCTCTCTCTGCATTTTTGATGCTGATACTTTAGTGTTTCTCACTATCAATATAGTAATTTCATTAGATGAGAAAAGGTGAATGAGTAGATGATACTGTTAGTGCTGTCCTAAGCAGCTACGCTGCAGGTAAACCTCAGCTCAGCATGGGATCCCCAAGTGCAATTTGTAACACAGGTAACACACGAGAGGAGAGTAGTTTTCAAGTTTCAAGGCAGAGGTTGAATATGGGAATATTTGCAACAGCAGCTGCAAAGCTAGAAAATGAGGGACATCCCTCTGCTTCTGCCTCGACTGTTCTGACAGGTTTTGCCAGGCTAACAACTGGGGAAAGAATTCCAAAGCAGATGGATAAGTCCATGGCAATGGCAGGGTTTCCCCATGGCTGTGTAGAGATGGGAGAGAGCAACTCTTTAGAATAGGTGGAGCTGCTGTGCACCTCACATTCATCCTTTCTTGACATGTCTGGCTGAGCAAGGTCTAAGAAACTATCAGATTAAAGGAAAAATACAAGAACCCAAATGATCTACCCTAGCAGAGCTGGGGAGAGCTTCTGAAGCTGGTGATAGCACTGTTCTGAGGTGTCTTCTGCACGCAGTAAACCGGTTGGCTGCCATGGAAGCTGAATGTGTGCTGCCCTTGGCAGGGCCGGGCACCCCTGGAGCAGCAGCAGCAGCTCTGTGGGAGTTCATTACGTGGCTGCAACTGCCCCACGTTGCTCCTCAGGCCAGGTCTGAATGAACTTGGCGATGCTGGCCAGGAGTGACCCGCTCCGTGTCCCTGGGATAACCCAGGAGTGACTCTGCTTATGTGAAGTTATCGCTGCTTTGCATGAAAACCCAAAGGCACAACTTGTCTCCTGTTGTACTTTTTTGGCTTCTGCCACGTAGCAGCACATGGCATCTTCTGCCTTTCCAGGGGTTAATCGATTCTTAGAAACAACTCAGCCTTCTGTAAGAAAGGAAGTTTGCTCATGTATTTCCATTTTGCTTTCTTGCTGCTGCAGGCAATGCTGGTTAACAAAGGAGCTATTGATGCTCCCTTTGAGCTCATCCCTCCAACCACAGCCCATGGCTCCTGCTTCACCTTTCGGCCCCAGCAGGGCATCATTCCACCCAGTGGGCTCCAGCCTATCCAGATCTCCTTCAGTTCCACCACCCTGGGGGAGTTCAAGGAAGAATTCCATTTCAATGTGGCTGAATGCCCTAAGCCTGTGACCTTGACTATCAGGTGAGGAGGGCTCTGGGAGCTTGGTGGGCACGTCTGTAGCTGTCTCTGGGTAATCATCTCTCACCTGCCTCATTTGGTGGTGGAGCAGAGAAGAAAGGTGTTGCCCGAGGTCTTAGTCTTGGCTCTGATGTTGGCATCCCCTCAGTGTGGGGATGCCTTCTGCCCAGTGCAGGTGCCCAGGAGCTGGAGTGACTCCTTCCTGCAGGGACCTCCCTCCGCCTTGGCCGTGGCAGGCAGTGGGAAGGCATTAGTTTTGGGCAGCTGCTGGTCTGGGATGTCCCCTCTGAGCGCCCAGCAAGGCCCCCAGGGCTTTGGAGATGGGCCAGCCTGGGTGACTCTGCAGCCAGAAGAAGTGGTTCTAAAGTCCTCTGTTAATGATCTGTGCCAAAGGGGCACAGCAGCCTCACATCATCCCTCGTGCCCAGGCACAGGCACAGGCTGTGCTCCCGGCTCCTGTGCAGGGAGTGCTCTGGGACCTCCTTTCCACAGCAGGAAGGGACTGGGGTGGGAGATGGGGAGCTCTGCAGCAGCAGGGACTGTCACAAGGACTTGGGCATCCTCCCATGGGCTGGTGCCATTGCAAAAGATAATCCTCGCCCAGCAATGGGGAAAAGGGGTGATGAAGGAGAGGCAAAGCTCTCTCCTCAGCACCACAGCAGCACGAGGGCTTGTCCCAGCTAGTCTGAACCACGGGCTGGCGGGGTAATGTGGTGGAGGCAGGAAAGCTGATGCTGGGAGCTCTGGAGCTTTGGAGGTAGCTGTGTCTGGGCTGCTGTTGGGAGGCACTGAATCAAGGTAGTAAAGAAACAAAAGGAATCTGCAGTCCATTTTACCAGGAACATCAGGGAAGTGGATAAAACATAACAAAAAGGTTATTACTTTGCAAGAGAAAAGTAGTGAGTCGGTCTTTCTCCTAAGGCAAGGGCACAGAGCCATCTCTGGGTGTGTGTACAGGGTCCTCCATGGGGCCAGCAGCACCTCGGGGGCATGCCCTGCCTGCCGTGGTGCCCTGAGCCCCATCAGCAGCTGTTGGCTGCCTCCTGTGCCCACGGACGCCGTGCTGAGCACAGGGTGCGGGGCTGGTTCGACGCCCACGGGGCTCTGACACCAGCTTTGACCCACCTGAGCCGGAAGGACGGCCAAAGGCTTTGCAGTTCCCTTTAACCAAGCCGTTGTCTCCTCTGTCCTCGTCCTCGCAGGGGCCACGTCACCGGACTGAGCCTGCATTTCAGCACAGGTGGCCTTGACTTCAATGACGTCTCCTTTGGTGAGTGTTCCCTGGGCTTGGAGGCAGCAGGAGAGATCTGTGCCTTGCCAAAACGGAGCACTTGAACAGAAGAGCATCTGTCACTCGTGCCCTTCCATGGCAGCCTGCAGGGTGTTAACTCCAGGGCTGCTGGTGGCATTTTGCCATCGTGAGATCCGAAAGGACCAAAGGAATAGAAAGTCAGTATTTTCTGGTGTCCCTCGTAGTCTCTTCTGCTCCAATCTCCCAGTCCTTGCCAGCAAAACGACTGTAAAAGTCCTCGTCCCAGGAGGGCCCAGGGGATGGGACTGCAGGAGAAGGGAGCTTAAGCCACGTACCTTTAGTGTGGGATGTTAATTAGTGCAGAGCAGGCTGTGGGCTGGTGTCCTGGCTCTGCAGGACATCCCCACCAGGTGTGGCTGTATCCCTGGCTTTCTGTTACGGGAAGCAAGTCTCAGAGCATAGTTTCATCCTACCAGGATATTCACACCAGAAGTCACGAGGTGCTTGGTGCCTACATGGCCATTTGTGTCATTTTCCTAGGCTTTCCTCAGACCTTGTCGTGCCACCTGATCAGCACCTCCGTGGTGCCCATCACCTTCCACCTTCGCATCCCTGGGGACGGCCAGGGACAGCCCAGCCTTAGGAGCTCTGATCAAGTGAAAGACAACGCTCACCCCTCCTGGGAAAAAGGCACACTGGCTCCATGTCAGCCAATGGAGTTCACCATAACACCCAGCACAGGGACCATCCCTTCCCAGGGATCCCAGGAGATCAGGGTATGGGAGGAGTCTGGCCACACATGGGTCAGTAGGTGGGGCTGAAGCCTCACTGGGCTGTGGGAGGGCTTTAGTGCTGTCGGCTCTCAGCATGTGCAAGGGAGGGATCTGCAGTGGTGTGGGAGCTGGGTTATGTGGAATGTTCCTGAAGGAGCACCATTTTGTCTCCAAAACCATAAGGTGAGATCACATGGTCAACAGAAGTCATTCGTGTGTTGGTTTTGAGCGTGACTTCTTTGACTGAAAACAGGCAGAGGAAGGATGAGAACAGAAGGTGGCTGTTAGAGAGATGCCACTGTATAAAGCAGTTTGCTTTTCTTCCCAGTCTCGTTTCTCCTCTCCTGGGGAGCAGAATGAGTTGAGGTCACTGCAGGGATCCCCAGTGAGGAAAGAAAAAACTCGGCAGCCATGAACTGCCCAGCATCTGCAGGAGCACACCTTGCCCTCAGCTTCCTGCTGAAAAGCTGAACTCATTCTGTCCAAGTCAACACATTTCCTTTGCATTTATGTTATTGTAGTCAAATGAAAAAATGGGCCCCTAATTTGAAGGCAGTAGTGAGTAGAGCTTTAGTCTCATTATACATGATTATACATGATTATGTATAATGCTTTAATTTAGCCACCTCTGCCCTGACAGCTGCAAGGTGTGTTTAACAAATTCAGTCTTGCCAGAAGGCTTATGTTACTCCCAGAGACTGTGCTCTAGGCATGGGCCAGCAGAAGAATTAAGGCAAAATCCTCCCTTGCCTTACTGCGAAACAAGAACCGGAGGAGACCACACGTGGGTAATGAGCTTTTGGGAGAAGGGAAGTATTTGCTGCTCTTCTCTTCCACCAGGTCACGCTGTGTTCCAATGACGTGGGACAGTACGACTTGATATGGTGGTGGACGTGGATGGTTTTGGCAAGGAGGTGTTGGCTCTGTGCCTCAAAGCCAGGTACCAGTGCTCTCCTTGCAGCTGCTCGTCCTTCCCCGTGCACCCACCACCAGCACAGTGCCTTGCTCGGGGTTTGCTGGCTGCAGCTCCAGGAGAAGGCTTGCTTAAGAAGCTGGTTCTGCCCAGCTAGGTAGGAGAAGAGCAGTGCTTGGAAAGCAGCCCGTGGTGAGAAGCACCCCTGCTCACAGCCAGGCATGGGTCTGGGCCTTTTTCTCTGGGGAACAGGAATGACATTATTTATTGGCCTGGCTTTTGCTGCTTGAGGTGTAAAAAATTCCCAAGCTCCTCCTGTCCTTCTTCCTGCAAGAGGTGGGCTTGTGCTAGGTTCCAACCACACTGCAGCATTGGTTTGGGACGCAGTGAGCAGCCTGCTGAGAGCTGGGGTCTGGCTCAGTTAACGAGGGCACATGGCAGTGGGAAAGGGGCTCACAGCAGGAGAGGGAGAGGAAAGTAGTCCTTGATGTGGTAGGTGGGCTCAGGTTTCCCTGCTTCCCTCTGGCTCTTTTGAGCATTAACATTCTCAGTTCTCAGACTTAATGCAGATGTTGTTGTTGCTGCAGCCAAATTCCCTCCTGTGGTGCTGCCCTGGGTGTCAGTTTAATGACAAGAGGGATGCAGTTCTCTGGTGCCGTTCCCTCTCCCAGGCAGAGCTGTCCAGTCAGTGCCTGGGCTGCAGTTTTGTAAGGCAAGTGCCAGTGGGGACAGACCTGGGACCTGTGGGGTGCAGCAGCAAGGGAGCTGTAGGAACTGGGAGGATGATCACCCACACCCTATAGGGGGTGGCTCGTGCCCTCAACACTGGCTGAGTTCTCTGGCAGGGCAACAGCACCCTGGGAGAGAAGGGAGTTGTTTTTCCTGAGACACTGGAGTCTCGTGTTCCTTGAGCCTTGGTGAGCACTGACCCTCAATAGGAAGGCTCCCCCAGAGCTCACGGCTCGCTGGGCCTGTTGGGGGAGTCCTTGCAAGCCTCCTTGGGCAAAGGAGGGGCTGAGGCTGCTGTGGGACAAGGCCCGTGCTCTGCCCGGGCACTTGGCAGCCTCTGCAGTGCTGAGTCTCAGGGTTTGCCCCTCCTTGACAAGACGTGTTTGAGTGGAAAGACGTGAAAGGTGATTTATCTCTGGAGGGGTATTAAACATCTGTTGGACAGTGACAAATGTCTTATGCTCCATTCCATACTCTGTGGGGTGAACACTCTCTGTTCTCTCAGTATCTCTCATTCCCTCAGGGTCATCTCTTTGCCCAGATGTGTCGTTCCTGAGCTGCGTTTGCTCTTCTCCCCCCTCGACTGTGGACCGTGCTCTGCAAAGGTCCCTTGCCAGAAGACGCTGATCCTTGTGAACCCGAGCCCCCTTCCAGGATGCTACAGAGTTCTCCCTCAGGTTTGGCATCTCATCCCCCTCCTCCTCTCAAATACTGTTGAGGGGTTTATTAGGGACAAATGGGGTTTTCATAAGACCTTGCTGGTTTCTAATCAGACTTAAAGGTGTGCTGAGAACAGGATTCTACCTGAATGTAAACTTTAGAAAGCAGTTAAATAGGAACCTACCTGAATATCAACTTCAGGAAGCATTTGAACCTCTTCAGGAAGCAGTTTATATTCTAGTGTTTGGGGTGTTTTCTTGTGAGAGCTCTTAGAAGGTTGTGAAAAGCTGCTGCAAGGAGGCTGCCAGCACAGGAGTGGGTGTCTGTGGATGCAGCAGCTGTTGGACCCCCAGAGGATGCTGAGCCCCAACAATTCTTGCATCTTTTTTTGTGCCTTTCAGCTTTTTCCTGGGGATTTTTAGAAAATGTGTGTGAGTTGCCATTGTGGTAGATGTGAAGGAGTTTAAAGTTTCCGCAAAGGTCCCTCTGAAGTTGCGCTTGATTCCGTCCCTCTAGAGACACCAAGAGGCCGCTGCTCTGTGGTACTCCAGCCCCAAGCCGTGTGGGATTATCCAGGGTCACAATGTGGTGGAGATCCCCATTACAGCTGAAGTCCAGGCAGTGGGTGCTCCTTCCATCCCGGTGGATATCGCCGTGTTCGGGAAGGAGACATCCCCACTGGTGAGTGCGAGGGGAGACGTGTGCCTTTGTGCAGTTCATCCTGGGGGGGTGGAGTGCACAGGGATTCTTCCAGGGAAAGCAGGGACTCCTCATATATGGCTGGTGTGGACAAGGACAGAAGGCAGTGGTGGCATAAGCAGTGTATGCTGGAAAAGAGGAAGAGCGGAGTCCTCCTAGGGGGTAATCTCAGCAGATGGTTCATCTAAGCTGAAATCGAGGATCATTTTATTTAATTAGTCTTCCATTGAAAATGCTGGTAACTGTGGAAACACTTTTAAAATGTCATCTCTCTGAACACAAAGGGAGGATTCTGGGAACCTTCAGCTTTCTGTGTCAGAAAGGAAGGCTGATGTTTGAAAAGTGGTTGCAGGGATTTAAACTTAGAGTCAAGCAGATGGAAAGGATGATGTCAAATCCCCTGGGTGGCACCAAACATCTCAAGCCGGGCCATTGCCGTTGTGCATGTAAACCAGTCAGCAGGAAGGCCAGGCAGTGCAGGCTGTGCAGGGGAGCCTGACTTTTAACAAAACACTTGCTTGTAACTATCAGGCTGCTTCCCTTAAAGAGCAGGGTTTCTCCCCACCAGAATAACCAGCTGTTTAACTGCCAGACTGTTTTTAAGTACAGATTTCTTGCAAAGCTTTTACCTTTGGGCCAACAGTTTACAGTTTTTCTGAAAGTTTCCCAGACTTTAATCTTTTTTAATTTGGAAGGGAAGATGTCAAAAGTTTGCCTAACAGGCCAGCATTTTAACTGGAGTATCATATCTGTCCCTAGAGAAATGACTTGAGTGCGATTGAGCTGTTTAAGCTTTCTTAACTTTCCCTGTTGTGTGGGTTTGTTTTTTTTTAATCTCTCTTACCTGCTCCCTGGAACAGCAAATGCGTTTCATGTGCACTGGAAAGACGCCGCTTGTCTACGCAAGTGTGAATAAGATAAACTTGGGCGAGATCCAAGCGATACAGGAGACTTCCCAAACTCTCCAGCTGTGCAATCAGGATCTCATCCCTGCAGCCTTCAGAGCAGAGATCGTAAGTGTCTGTGGGGCTGTTTTCCAGGGAAACTCCCTGGTCAGCAGCAGCCCAGGACTTGGATTTCATATGTAAGGTTTCTGTATCACCCTGTGGGAGAGAGGAGACAAGAGATTCCATCCGAGGCAAGAGGAGCCTGGCTCTGCAGGTGGTTTTAGCTGGGACGACCTTCATTGAAACAGTTTTCAGAGTTGTAGGAGCAGAAGCGAGTCTGGATTGTGGTTACAAGTTCTCCCTTTATTTTGGGGAAGGTATTTAGCGGTGCAGGTTGGGTTTTTGGAGCTCTGAGATGAGGAGCCAGTGGCCCTTTGCTCCTGAGAGGGCAAGGATTTCCCCGTGGTTTCCTCATACCACCTGCATTTGTTTTGTGCCAAAGTGCTGTTAATGGTAGAGACCAGGGTGTGAGGTCTGGCCTCAAGCTCTGGGTGGGGAGAGGAGTTTCCCCTTCCTGGGGCTCAGAGCAGCAGGGCTGTTGCACACAGACACAGCTGCAGGGATTGTGCACCTCTGGAGCCTGTGGCCTCCATAGCCTTGGGGGGAGGTTTGTTCTCCTCCGTGCTGAGTGGGCTGGACTGCTGGAGCTGGTTGAAGCCAGCCCCGACACGGTGGGCGTGGTTGTGTCTGTGGATAAAGCAGCAGGCGGTGGGGGAGAGTCCAGGCTCAGCCTCCTGGGCCAAGGAGGAGGGGAGTGAGTTTTCCACTTGCTGCTTTCCCAGGTGTCTGAGGAGGAAATGTAACCTCCAAGTGAGGGATTTCCAGGGCAGCTTTATTCAACTCCACAATGAAGTTCTGCTCTCCACCCCTGCAGAGAGCAAGCCACCTCGGATGGGTGGTGCTGGCATGGAAATAATAGTTTTTGCATGCTCATCCCAGGCCGGGACCTGCCGAGCTGTGTCTGTACAGCTGTCCCAGTGGAAGGCCTTGCTTCCCTCCCCAGGGCAGCTTGCAGCTTTCTTACCCCATCCACAGAGGGAAGTCCATGAGAAAGCAGAGGACCAGAGTGGGAAGGCTGGGCCATGCCCACAGGGCAGTTTTCTTTCTGCTTCCTGTTTTCCTGCCCTGCTATAAGCATTTAGAACTGACTTTTCCAAAGCCAAGGGCTCTGGGGCACCTCTTGGCAGCTGATGCTCAGTGGGAAGCCAGGGCTTTGGTCCTTCAGGGGTGAGGACTTTGGTGCTGGGCTTTAGCTCAAGCGGTTTTGCAGAGTTAGTCTTCAGGCTCTCAGCAGTATCCTGCAGCTGTGTGGCTGCTGTGGTGGGGTTGGAGCAGTCGTGGCTTTCTGCAGCCTTGAGCCTTTGTGAAAACCCAGCTCTGCTGTGGGGAAACCAGAAGAGAGAAAGTAGCTTCCCTTGGCATACACTCCAAGAAAAGACTGGGGGGAGAATAACATTCTCCTGAGGAGGAGCATCCCTTGGGTTGGGCAAAACTTAAAAGTCTGTTAAAATGGGTTCAAGGCGGGTAAAATACAGGTTGTATAAGCTCTGCTCTTGCCCAGACACAGTAGTTTAGATTTAGGGAAATGAAGGCTTTACGCTTTTTACCCTCCTCTCTGTAGTCGTTCCTTTTCTCACACCCCACAAGTCACCAGGGTCCATGGTTTCCATCCTAAATGCATGTTTGCCTTGTCTTCCAGGATGGCAAATGCTGGAGTATTGAACCCAGGGAAGGAGTGGTCCCTGCCAAGGCTGAGGTTCCTGTGGTTGTCACGGCAAACCTGGGTGACACAGGGAGATTTGAAGACAGCATGAAGCTGTTCATTGAGAACAGCCTTACCAGTGTCATCCCCATCCAGGCTGTGGGCACTGGCACCACAATTGCCATTGACAAACCGTTTGCGCCGAAGCTGAATTTGGAACCCCAGTTCAAGTAAGAGATCTCTTAACTCCTGCCTCTCCTCTTGGCTCAGCAAGGAGCAGTTATGCTGTAGACTTTCAGGCTAAATCTTTTACAGTGCTCCAGGCCCTGGCTTTGTTTCCCTGAAGCCAGAGCTTCCTTTAGAAACATGTTGTTATGCTCAGGTTCCTTAAATCATTAGAGAGATGCCTCTGCCCATATTAAGGGGCGAGCGAGACCGTGTGCCAAAGTCAATAGTACGGGTTTTTATTTAACAGTAAATGTGAGGAAGAGAGAGATAAAAAGAAATGGGAAAAAGAGAGAAAGGGGGAGAGAAAGAGAATGACAAAGAGACAGATTAAGTAGAGAAAATATCACCGCTGCATGGATTCCAATGGCATCCCATTGATGCTCTTCTTGTGGCCTTCTCGGTGGTGAAGTGTTCTCAAAGTGATGGTTTCAGTCTGCATCCATTAAGGGAAGCCCAGGATGGTGAGGGAAAAAGCCCATGGTGACGAAGGAAGTTTCTTGTGCTGAGGGAAGCTGTGGAAATACTACATTACCAGTGTAAACCTCTTACTCTTTGCAATAACGACATCAGAAGGGCATCAGACATTGTTTCTGGTCCACATTAAGAGCGGGAAGGGAAGATGGTCTCCAAGCTATTAACGCTTCAGATTGCTCACTAAGAGCACTTGACTGCAGGGAAATAGCAGCTCCCATGACCTTTTCCATCTCTGCTTCTCCTCCAGCCTCGTTCCCTGCGTTTTCCGGTTCAACGTGACAAACAAGGGGCGTCAGTTCCAGCGGCTGTACTGGGGCCCAGAAGGTTTCAGCCCCTTTCGACAGCGTCATCCTCTCCCTGCCCTCTGTGTCACCAAGGGCAAAAACGCTTCCCAGAGACACACCACCCCCGTATTTAAGCTGCGGCCACGGAGTATGAATCTGCAGCCAGGCCAGACTATGGAGCTGGTGCTGGAAGGCTTCTCCAGCACTGTCCAGGTGAGGTCCCTGCCAAGGGCTGAGCCTTCCCCATCAGGTCCCCTGCACTGGGGCTTCTCCTGCAGCCCCTTGACATTTGCCTGGGCAAATGAGCAAGGGCCTTCAAGACAGTGTTTAAGGCTACAGGTTTCCATGGCAGCACCAGTGGCTTTCCTTGCTGGCCACCATCGGTTGCTAAGGCTTTTTTGTGATTCCATAGCTACCAAACCCCAATGCTGATCCCAAAATACGGGCTGAAGGAAGTATTGCTTCTTGGGGGCAAACAGGGGGTTACCGGGGTTACCAGTGTCACCTGCTGAGGCACAAAGGAAGGGCAGAGAAAATAGGTTACGCGTAAAGCAGGAGCCCAAGCAGAAAGTGAATTAAGCAAGTGCCAAGTGGTTTCTCTGGAGTAAGCAGAGAGTAAAAGAGAAGCCCTGTGAAGGGAGGGAGTGTCTCACGAGTGCCTTTTGTGGCTATTGGGGTGCAGTGTTAGGGCCATTGGAGCACAGAAGAAATAGGCTGCAGCAGCACAGGAAGAAAAGGGGGCAGTGTCTGTAACTTTGTGGCCCATGGGGGGGGAGGAGCCAACGCAGGGCGTTTGCTGGACACCCTGCCAGCAGCACTGGTGACAAGTGACTCTTGCATGCAGGACGTGGAGGAGAAGCTTGTGTGTGAGACAGTCGTGAAACCAGAGATAACAAAGAAAGAGATAATCAAGACAAAGGTCACCTGCAAGTTCATTTCTCCCGCTGTGCAAATATCATCCAAGGCAATCACTTTCCGTGTGGAGAAGGTAAGTCTCTGGATTGCATCCTGGCATTTAACAGCATGGCTCAGCGAGAGAGCTCGTGGGGGGGGGTGTGTGCTTGTGTTAACAGCCCTCTTTACCCTTCCTGAGGCACTTTGTAAGGTAAGTGAGGATGTTTTTAGAGATGAGACTGGTTTTTAGCTTCCTCAAAGTAGAATTGTGGCTCCAGCCGCACTGCTGAGGGGGACCGTGGCCACCTGGAGAGAAATGCCAGTTTCTGTGCTCACTGTCAAGGGAGGTTTTTGAGGATCCTCCAACGCACGGTGAAGTAGGGAAGCTGGGAAAACCAGAGATTCCTGTGAATTCCTCAGGCTGATGAGGAAAAACCTGTCATCTGCTGTGTGTCTTTGCCTTCTCTGCTGTTGGCATGGATGCTCTATGGTACAGCTCTATGGTACAGCTCTGTGCATTTCCCCAAGCCTCACCTGCTTCTAAGGACCCACACACGTCCTGCAGCTGCAGTGATGATGCCACCGAGGCAAAGCAGGTGCCCTTTAGTCTCTGGATCCCAACTTCTGCATCATCATTCCCTGAGCATAACAACATGTTTCTAAAGGAAGCTCTGGCTTCAGGGAAACAAAAATGTTGCATTTTTTAGTTTCTGTGGTTTCGGGTCTCTCATCAGGTTACCAGGCTTCCACGGAAGCACCGAATTCTGGGAACGGGCAGTTTGGATGTAATGAGCAACTTTTCAGCTCTCCCTGATGCCTGCTTGTGCTCTGCTTGATGCCACACTGATTTATGGAGTGCTCTGGCGCTGCAGCTGTTTGATATCAGTACATCCAGAACTAGTTTCCCAAACTCTGGTTTCTCTGCCCCGTGCAAGAAGCCCACCACAATGCACAAACAAGAAGAAGGAGCTTAGGCTGATCATAGCTTGGAGGTTATAGACACCATGTGCCTGTGGCAGAGGCAGCAGGACACACATTGCAGAGGGACTGTTGAGGTTTCTGGCTGGCCACATGTTCATGGAATGTTCAAAGCTGACCTTGGGCTGCTGCAGGATCTCCACGAAGGGCCAAATCCTGCTTGCTTTTCTCTTCTGGCTGGCATCACTGCTTCTAGGAGGCTGCTGGAGCCAATAAGGCTGTGAGAAATGACTGTATGTGAGGGAAGATCATCTTGTGCTGTTCTGCCCAAGAGAGGAGACAAAACTGGAGACAAACGTTCTGGGGTCACTTTCTGCCTTTGATCTTGTTCAAGCAGCTGCCTCCTCTCAGGAGCCTATTCCCTCCTCTGTTCATGGAAGTGTTTCCTTGTCTCCCAGGGGAGGCTGGGGTTTCGAAACATGTAAAGAATCAGCTCTAGGGAAAAATGTCCTGGAAGGTTTAGAATCAAAGAAAAAGAGTAAATAGAGATGTATGCACTTCTGAGGTTGAAAAATGTGAAATGCGTTGGAAGGGGAAGGAGGTCTGTGGTTCCTTGAGGTTGTTTTTCCTTGTCTCCTGTTTCTGTAGCACCCCGATGATGTCCTGATTCTTCAGTACAAGCCTCTATCTTTAAAAAACACCTGCTGCCTGCCATTCCACCTTTTGCTGGACTTGGAGCAGCCGTTCCTAATCTGTGATGCAGACCATCAACCCCTCCCTGCAGGGGCCCAGGTGAGCAGCCAAGGACCCTCCTGCCAGTGGGCTTTGAAGAGGGAGGGCTGTGGTGGTGCCCTTCTGTTGGGAGGTCCTCGAGTCAAGAAGTTTATTCCATAGAGTCAGCAGTGGACTGGCCTGAACTGTGAACTGAGTCAGCAGAGCTGCTGAAGGAAGCAAAAACTCATCTGAATTGGAAAGATCCTTCCTGGCTCTTAAGATACAAGGGGAAGGGAGCAGGCAGCCAGGTGTGGGCAAGCCATGCAGCAGAGGTGTCTCCTGGAGAGCACCCCAGCTCTCCAGCAGCCATCCTCTTGTATTGCTGCTGAGCACAGAAACAGGAGCCTGAGAATCCCCCACCGGAGTGTGGTGCTTGCAGTCAGAGCCTCCCTTGTAAAGAACTGAAGGGTGGACTGGGAAGGCCGTGCTGGGGTCACACTTGGAGCGTTTACGGTTTTGTGCTGTCAGACCTTGGGACTTCATCGTGTGGGTGACTGACACTCCTTGTCTCCTTGCAGCCTGTGAAGATGGAGGCAGGGCAGGAACTTCATCTCTCCATCGGCTTTAACCCAGCCTATGAAAAGGATCCGATCAGCTGGGTAGCAGAGAAGACTATGAAGATCCAGCTGGTGGAACATCCTCATGAGGAAGAGATCACCGTTCGGGGAGAGGTCTACTTCCCGAATCTCCGTATCCCGACCAAAGCGCTGGACTTCGGTTGCATCGCGAATGGCGCAAAACAAGTGCGTTCCCTGGAGATGACCAACTGCAACCCAATTCCTGCCCACTACCACTGGTCATTCCGGGTGAACAGCAAGGAGTACCTGACAGGGTATGTGCACCTTTGCCCTCTCCTGGAAGCTCTGGTGTCCTGTTTGTACTTTGCAAAGACCAAAGCTGTTTGCCTGGCATCTGACAAACTGCTTTTGACTTTCCCTTGTGGAAATAACACCGACCAGCCGTGCTCAGGCTGGATGCTCAGGGAATAGGCGTTTTCCATGAGTTTGGTGCTGCTGTAGTCCCCCTCCTGGTTTCCTCTGGGAAGGAAAGCTGGTAGGGAAATCTGCTTTCTCAGACCTCTGTGGCGTGAGGCAGTGACCACCTTGGTGAAGGGCTCCTAGTCCCACCTCCACAGTGCTGGTGGAGGCACTTTCACAGCCCTTTGGCCCCTCTGCTTTGGGATGGGTCCTCTCTGCGAGCAGAGAAACTGCTCTCTGCTCCTTGCTACCTTCTCTGCATTCCCAGCCTTGGCCTGGAAGTGCTGGAGGATGCCCAGAAAGTCCCAAATTACGTCACAGAAAGAGCTAGTTAGCACCTGAGCTGATGCTGAACATCTTGCTACCTTCCCCTTCCTTCTCCTTTTCTGAGACACCCCCTTTCTGAGCTCATCACACCTGCACCCACCCAGGGGCTGCATCCTGACGAGGAATTGCTCGTGCAGGTGTCCCTCCCTCCCACTGCAGGTCCGCGATCATGGTTATGTTGTTTTCCAGGTTCATACCTTCCCCACCTACATTCAGACCCCAACCACAAATGGCCAGGTTCGGCTGTGTTGAGTGTGGGCGTTATTCAAGGAGGTACTTCAGGCCTGGAAGTGTGCGGGAGCCAGCCAAAGCCCCGGAAGCAGCACAGGACTCTTCCCAACAATCATCACATTCAGCAAACTGCCTGGAAACAGAACAGAATTCTTCCGAAGAGTCATCAGATTCAGAGAACTCCCTGGAAACAGAATGGGATTCTTCTGAAGAGTCATCGGATTCAGAGGGCTCCCTGGAAACAGAGGATGATTCTCCTGAACAGTCACCACATCCAGAGAACTCTCTGGAAACAAAGCAGGACTCTTCCCAAAAGTCATCACATTCAGAGGCCTCCCCGGAAGCAAAGGTGGGTTTTCTTGTGCACCTGCCACTTGTGTTGCCTCCCCCAGCTTGCCACCAAAAAGCCGTGCTCATGCTGACCTCCCCTTTTGCTGCCCTGCTGTTCTGTGCCCTGAGAGTGGGCTGGGCAGCAGGGCCAGTGGCTGGACATGGGGTGTCTGGGGAGGGAGAAATAGGATACTTTTCTTTGAAGAAGCCCACTCTCATCCTACAGACTTTTGCTGAGTTGGGGATTTTTTGGCTTGTTTTCTTTACAATGTAAAATGAGGCTTTTCTGCATCATGATGAGAAGGCTCCCAGTTTCCTTCCTGTAGCAAACCGTGCCAAATCCTGATCTCCATGTACCCCCTTCCCAACCCAGCTAGAGCACCCGTTTTCAGGTCTCTGCCTTCACCCATGAGCCGGCATTGCAGTGACGGCCCCAGAGCTGCCCTTTATAGAGTGAGACTTGGCAAGGTGGCTGTGTCCTGGAATGGAAAGTGCCTTGTCTTCCAGGTGCCACCATCCACTGCTGCAGGGCCTCGGAGCTCAGTGGAGACGAAGGGGTCTGGGCAGTCGGCGGAGGCAGAGGCCCCTGGCTTCAGAGCGGAGGAGGTGAGTGGGAATCTCTCTCGCTTGCACGTTTTCAGCGTGGCAAGCAGGTCTGTTGCCCCCAGAGCTACAGAACTCCCTCTGCAGCACCCAGGGAGGGCATTGCTCCCCTGGTACCTCATCAGGTGCTCAACAGGATATTTTTCAGGAGCTTTTGGTGTAGCACCTTGAGAGAGCAGCATGTAAGTCAGAGAGAGAGGGAAAAGCCTCAGGAGTCAGATGAGCTGGGCTGGAGTCTTCCCCTCAGCTCCAAGAGCTCTCACCTCTGAGTCTCCTGCTTTTCTGAAGGCAGTAAAAACCGGTTTTAAAGGCAAGTTCTGCAGCAGAGACAATGTCTTGCTGCCAGGAGACATCCCAGTTTACTTTAATGTCTGGTATTAATTAATGCATTGAGCAGTGAGTATGGCAGAAGACTTTGGCCATGCTCCCTCCACTGGTCAGTGGCATGGAGGCAGGATGAGATTAGGATGCTTCTGGCTGGTGTTTGAGGAATAGG